CCGGCGCCGCCGCCGCCGGCGGCAGCTCCTCGTCCACCTGGATGATCTCCACGGTGCGCGCGGCCGTGACGGTGCTGCGCTGCTGGTGCCGCTTGCGGAGCTTGTAGAAGACGATGAGCATGGCGGCGGCCAGCAGCGTGACGGCCACGAAGCAGCCGATGATGATCTTGGTGGTCCTCATGACCTCGTCGAGGCTCGTCTGCGCCCTGTCGGCCGCCTCGGCCGTGGGCACGGCCACGCGCCCCGGCGGCCGCGTGCTCTGCACGAGCACCGTGGTGGTGGTGGTGTAGGCCGGCTGGTAGCCCGTGGACGTGGTGGGCACGGGCTTGGTGAACTTGGGCGAGACGTCCTCCGGGGAGATCTCGGTGGTCTCCACCGTGACGGTGGTGAAGAAGCTGTAGTTGGAGGTGTTGAGCTCGGCCGTGCTCACGTTGAGGTAGGCCGAGGCGTTGGAGTTGCCCGCCACGTTGGTCACCATGCACGTGTAGAGGCCCGTGTCGCTGAGCAGCACGTGGGAGAAGTTGAGCGTGCCGTCGTTGAGCACGGAGAGGCGCGGGTGGCTCGACGCGTGGCTCAGCACCGTGCCGTTGGGCAGCAGCCACCGCACGGACGACATGGAAGGAGTCCGGCACTTGAGCTCGGCCACCCGCCCCTCGGAGATGTTGAGGTCCATGGGCGCGTCCATGATGAAGGGCGCCGAGCACTGGAAGGAGGTCTGGTCCACCTCCACCAGGAACTTGCCCCGCATGTGCAGGGGCGCGTGGCAGCGGCCGCAGCAGCTGGAGTTGGTGGGGATGTACTCGCGGAGCCACCACGAGAGCCACAGGATGTCGCAGTCGCAGTGCCACGGGTTGTGGTGCAGGTGCAGCTCCACCAGGTACCGCAGCGGCGCGAACAGGTCGTGGGGCAGCGACGAGAGGTTGTTGTGGGCCAGGTTGAGCTCCACCAGCGCCGTGAGGTCGTCGAAGGCGTTGCGCTCGATGGCGCCCACGTGCGCGTGCATGAGCCACAGCTTGCGCAGGCTGCCCAGGCCCTGGAAGGAGCCCGGGCGGATGAGGTCCAGCCGGTTGCCCGAGAGCTCCAGCTCCTCGAGGCGCACGAGCGCCGTGAGGTTGGGGATGTCCTTGAGGTTGCACATGCCCAGGTTCAGGTAGCGCAGGTTGACGAGGCCCTCGAAGGCGGCCTCCGAGATGTACTCGAGGCGCTTGAGCTCGCCCAGGTCGAGGCGCATGAGCGAGGGCACGCGGTTGAAGGCGTACGAGGGGATGCTCTCGATGGGGTTGTTCCTCAGCCACAGCTCGCGCAGCTTGGACAGGTACTCGAAGGCCTGCGTGGGCACCGTGGTGAGGCGGTTGTCGAAGAGCTCCAGCGTGTTGAGG